CCCCCCCCCCCCCCATCCCCTCCTAGATGTCCAGCATTTCTTTGTTACTTTGTTCCTGTTGCTATGCTGGGAGCTCAGTTCCTATTGCCATAGGCATCAGCCCAAATCAGTAGGGAAAAGACTTTGGGGTGATGTAGTCTTGGGGGTGTGTCTATGTCAATGGGAACTGCCAGCAGCTTGTGTGAACAATCTCAACTCCTTTAGTAACTCAGCCCAAATGTGTGTCGGGAAAAGGCTTTTGGGAGATGTAGCTCTGGGGGTCGTGCCAACGTTAATAACAACTGCCAGCAGCACGGCGTTAACATTCGCACAGCTAACTTTGTGAAGGATCTCAACTCCTTTAGTAAATCATCCCAAATGTGCGTAGGGAAAAGGCTCTTGGGTGATGTAGGTCTGGGGGCGGGCCTGTGTCAATAGGAATTGCCAGCTGCTCGGAGTGAAGATTCATACAACTTATTGTGCGAGGATTCTCAGCTACTTTAGAAAATCAGCCCACGTGCATAGGTGCATAGGCTCTTGGGAGATGTAGCTCTGGGGGTATGCCTGTGGTAATTGTAACTGCCAGCAGCTGGAAGTGAAAATCCTCACAACTTATTGTGTGAAGATGCTCAACTCCTGTAGTAAATCAGCCCACGTGGGTGTCGAGAAAAAGCTCTTGGGAGATGTAGCTCTGGGGGGCATGCCTTTGTCCATAGGAACTGCCAGCAGCTTGATGTGCAAACTCATACAGCCTATTGTGTGAAGAGTCTCAACTCCTTTAGTAAGTCACCCTCCGAGTGCGGGCAGGCTCTTAGGAGCCAAGGGAGGAGCATTGCACGTGGAGGGGGACAGAAGGGGGCGGGGATAGATGGAGTTCTCTAGTCCAGTAGGCGGGGCTGACAACGCTGGTTGAGATTTCAAGGCAGCAAAGTCGCTGTGTTGTCACCCCAAACAGGAAGTTAGCAGCATACCGACTTTTTCGGCAGATCACAGAGGTTTTTCTGTCCTTGCACAGGGGCTGTGTGACGGGGAATGTGCCTGCGTTATGTCCGGAATATGTGTGACAGTCAGACATACAGAGCGTCTGCTGAGTTCTAACAAACACTTCTAATAGGCAGCTCTCCAATGAATCCTTTCCTGGGAATTTCCCATTACCTCTTTTCGCTGCTTTAAATAAGTGTGATGTACCTGGGGGAGAAGAAGACGCCTTACCTGGCGCAGATGTTTTCTGACAATCATATTTCTTACACATGTCATCATTATTATTATTATTATTATTATTTTTATTAGGGTCAGGAGAAGGGGAAGTCTGCAGCTTCTCCTTTCACTGTCCAGTCACAGACTGGGGGATGTCTCTTCAGTGGTATTTCTGCAGTCCGTCACCATCTCCTGTATTATGTCTTCAGTCCCTGACCATCTCCTGTATCATGTCTGCAGTCTCTGACCATCTCCTATACCATGTCTGCAGTCTCTGACCAACTACTGTAGTATGTCTGCAGTCTCTGAACGACTCCTGTAGTATGTCTGCAGTCTCTGAACGACTCCTGTAGTATGTCTGCAGTCTCTGACCATCTCCTGTATATGTCTGCAGTCTCTGACCATCTCCTGTAGTATGTCTGCAGTCTCTGACCATCCCCTGTATTATGTCTTCAGTCTCTGACAATCTCCTGTAGTATGTCTGCAGTCTCTGACCATCTCCTGTAGTATGTCTGCAGTCTCTGACCATCTCCTGTAGTATGTCTGCAGTCTCTGACCATCCCTTGTATTATGTCTTCAGTCTCTGACCCTCTGACCATCTCCTGTATATGTCTGTAGTCTCTGACCATCCCCTGTATTATGTCTTCAGTCTCTGACCCTCTGACCATCTCCTGTATATGTCTGTAGTCTCTGACCATCCCCTGTATTATGTCTTCAGTCTCTGACCATCTCCTGTAGAATGCCTGCAGTCTCTGACCGACTCCTGTAGTATGTCTGCAGTCTCTGACCATCTCCTGTATTATGTCTTCAGTCTCTGACCATCTCCTGTAGAATGCCTGCAGTCTCTGACCATCTCCTGTAGTATGTCTGCAGTCTCTGACCATCTCCTGTATCATGTCTGCAGTCTCTGACCGTCTCCTGTATATGTCTGCAGTCTCTGACCATCTCCTGTAGTATGTCTGCAGTCTCTGACCATCCCCTGTATTATGTCTTCAGTCTCTGACCATCTCCTGTAGAATGCCTGCAGTCTCTGACCGACTCCTGTAGTATGTCTGCAGTCTCTGACCATCTCCTGTAGAATGCCTGCAGTCTCCGACCGTCTCCTGTATCATGTCTGCATTCTCTGACAGCTTTCTATAACATTGCATTCATTCCATATTATGTGTGGCCCTTTGGTGGTGTCAGGGGCCACAGCTAACCATCCATAATCCAGAAACCACATAACAAGTTTGGTCTTGTTATGTGTGACAACACCCCTCCCCGGAGACAACACCGGGGAGGGGTGAGGCGTGCGGTTATCATTTGTATCTCTCTCTCTCTCCATTGACAGGCGACTGTTTCGCAGAAGAATTTGAAGATCGTTATCTAGATACTAAAGTCACAGGGCAGACCTTCCACTACTCGGCTCTGTCCCAATCGGCAACACTTGCTCCAGAGACTCCCACCAAGAGTAACCTCAGGCGCCTGGAGTTTGTCTACTTGGTGAGTGCCCAGAGTTCTTCCGAAGGTCCTCCCTTGAATAGAGGGAACATATCTACTAAACAGTGTCACAGAACCGGAAGTAACCGGCTGTTATACTGGTTCCATAATTGCATCACAAAGTCACAATCATCATCATCATATACATTATATGGCCAAAAATGTGGACACGCCTCTAAATGGTGGAGTTCAGGTGTCTCCAGTGGAGGTTCTGTTAATACTCCATCATACAAAGGCATTGTGGACAATTGGGCTCTTCCAGTTTGGTGAAGACCCTTTTCTGTTCCACCATGACTGTCCCCCGTGTACAACGCCAGCTCCATAAAGACATGGTGTGACCAGCTTGTGAAGGCCACTCAAGGTCTTCAACACCACAGCCCTGACCTCATCCCTATGGACCATAGGAATGCCTTATGGAACATAGATGTTGCGTAGGAGATATTGAGCTCAGGGGTCAAAGTCAGCTCCACAAAGACATGGTTTGTGAAGGCCACTCGAGTTCCTCCACACCAGAGCCCTGACCTCAACCCCATAGAACATAAGAACACCTTATGGAATATAGATGTTCCATAGGAGTTATTGAGTTTAGGTCCACAAAGCCAGCTCCATAAAGACATGGTCTGATGAGTTTCTGAAGGCCACTCAGGTTCCTCCACACCAGAGCCCTGACCTCAACCATATAGAACATAGGAGCACCTTATAAAACATAGATGTTCAATAGGAGATATTGAACTCAGGGGTCAAAGTCAGCTCCACTAAGACATGGTCTGACCAGTTTCTGAAGGCCACTCAGGTTCCTCCACCCCAGAGCCCTGACCTCATCCCTATAGAACTTAGAAACACCTTATGGAACATAGATGTTCCATAGGAGATATTGAGTTCAGGTCCACAAAGCCAGCTCCAGAAAGACATGGTTTGACCAGTTTGTGAAGGCCACTCAGGTTCCTCCACACAAGAGCCCTGACTGCAACCCTATTGGGCCAAGGAACACCTTATGAAACATAGGTGTTCCATAAGAATTATTGAGTTCAGGTCCACAAAGTCAGCTCCAGAGCCCTGACCTCAACTCTACTGAACACCTTTTGGATGAATTGGAACGGTGGTTGTGATCCAGGTCTCATCCAACATCAGTACCTGAGCTCATAAATGGGACAAATTCCCATAGACACCCTCCAACATCTTGTGGAAAGACTTACCAGAGGAGTGAAGGATGGTATAACCAATGAGTTGGGCAACTTCATAACAATGGCCATGGGTGGGGATGGGGGGGCAACTCCATACTTATGGTCATGGTTTGGGAATGGAATATATCCAGCTCATGTAAGAGTTATGGTCAGATGTCTAGAAACTCTTGGTCATATAATGTATTTATAATATACTATCCTTTATGCTTCATTCTTTCATAACACCGGAAGGGCAACATTGATATACACTTCCTCTTATCTGCTTCTGAAGAAGCTTAAGGGGACCCTGCCCATTCATGGTCAATAACAGTTCATTAAGGGTTTATAACAGGAGTATTCATATTGGCATTGAGCGCTCTCCAAAATATGGAGAACTGCTCAGGGAGGAAACTGGGGACTAGAGTGCCAAAATTAATCAATATTATTATTATCATTAATCGTAATTGTTTTCTTTGTTGGCAGCCAAGCAACAGAAGGGTGAGTGAAGATGAAAGTACCACAGTAGGCGTGAGACCACGGGAAACATGCCTGAGCTTACCTACAACACCAGATAAGCAAGTGGCCTGGATTAAAGCCTTCCCATTTCCTATACCAGAAGAGAGGCGGTGGCACCAATCTAATTCTATACAAACCAACATTGTGCCCATAAATGTATCAGGTATGTAAAAAGAAAACACATTGTCTTCTGCTACAAAATTCATGAATGTTAGCGGCAGCGCCGGTTTTAATATAGGCAAGTGGGCCATCCAAGGGGAAATCCATAGCTCAGTTATGAGCTTTTCTTCACAAGGAGAAAAAATAAGTTTGGTGGGAGGGATCTGCCAGAAATAAATGTATGTTTATGGCATTAGAGAGGGAAGATATGAATCTACAGCAACTACAGGGTTGTTGGTAATCATGCAGATGATCCATGATACACTATATGGCCAAAAAGTGTGGACTCCTGACCACCCCACCTATATGAGCTTGTTGGACATCCCATTCCAAAACCATGGCCATTAATATGGAGTTGCTCCCTGTCTAAGGCCATTATTATGGAGTTGCCCCCCCATCCATGGTCATTAATATGAAGTTGGCCCCCTTTATGACTAGAATATCCTCCATTCTTCTGGGAAGGCTTTCCACAAGATTTTAGAGTTGTCTACAATGTTGGTACTATTAACAGAACCCTTTACTGGAGACACCAGAACTCAATCATTTGGAGGGGTTACAATTCATCCCAAAGGTGTTCCGTAGGGGTGGGTTCAGGTCTCTGTGCAGGACACTTGAGTTCATCCACACCAAACTGGTCACACCATGTCTTCACACGCTATGGCTAGATGTTTGAGGACACCTGCCCATCACATCTATAAGAACTGATTTGACAATTTCAAAACCATGGGCATTCATTTGCAGTTGCCCTCTTTTGTGGCTATAACAGCCTCAACTCTTCTTTTGAAGGCATTGCAGAAGATTTCGGAGGTTGGCTGTAGGAACTTATGTGGTCAGGTACAGATGCTGGATGAGAAGACCTGGCTCACAATTGGCGCTCCAATCCATCCCAAAGGTGTTCAGTAGGGGTGAGGTCAGGGCTCTGTGCAGGACACACAAGTTCCTCCACACCAGAATGGTCACACCATGTCCACAGGCCCGGATTCCCCACAAGGCCACCGAGGCCCGGCCTCGGGGCGGCAGGGCGCAGAGGGGCGGCACCGGTGTGGAATCCCCCGACGCCCGGAACATACAGTTCCGGGCGCCGGGCAGTAAGTGTGGTGAAGCCGTGTACGTTTACAAGTGATCTCAGCGATGTAGCCGAGATCACTTGTAATAGGTTTGCAGACCGTCCTCCCCCCGCA